ATGTGGTGCTGAGGATCGAACCCGGGCCGCACGCATGCCAGGCGAGCGCGCTACCGCTTGAGCCACATCCCCAGCCCATAGAAGAAGAGAATTTTTTTAATATTTATTTTTCATGGACACAACATCTTTATTTTATTTTTATGTGATGCTGAGGATCAAACCTAGTGCCGCGCACATGCCAGGCGAGCACGTTACCGCTTGAGCCACATCCCCAGCTCAGGGCATATATCTTCTATCTGAATAACTTTTTTATGGTATTGAGGATTGAACCCAAGGATACTTAGCCACTGAAGAACATCCACAGCCCTTTTTATTTTTTTAATTTTGAGACAGGGTCTCATTAAGTTGCTGAGGCTGGCTTTGAACTTGTAGTCCTGCTGCCTGGGGCTCCCAAGCCATTAGGATTACAGGCCTGTGCCACTGCTCCCAGCCCAAACCCTTTTATTTTTTATTTTTCAACAGGGTCCCGCCAAGTTGCCCAGGCTGGCCTTGAACTCGCAGTCTTCCTACCTCAGCCACTGCGGTAGCTGTGATTGCAGATGTGTGCCACCACACTTAGCTCTTTCTTAGTTTTTAATTCCTCTGCTAAAATTCTCCATCTGGTCATGCTTGTTCATCCAATATATGGTTATCTCTTAGTCAGTTTTTTTAGATTGATTTAAATTTTTGTTGTTTTTTGAGTTCTTTTTCTTTCTGAGTGTCTCATAAATTTTTACTGAATGCCAACATAAGTGTGAAAATGTGACCTTTCCTGCTGGACAGCCAGTGTGTAAGCTGGATCAGTCCAGTCAGTACAAGGGCTAGGTTTGAATCATATATATATATATATCACACTTTATTTTATGTGGTGCTGAGGATTGAACCCAGTGCCTCATGCATGCTAGGCAAACGCTCTACCTCCAAGCCACAACCCCAGCCCCGCTAGGTTTGAATTTTGTTGTCATGATTACTTTGTGTGCACCACCAGAGTCAAACTCCTCTAGCATTTCCTGGTACACAGGGTAGGGGCTGTCAGTCTTCCACACAGACCAGTCCCTCAGAGAGGGTCCCTCCTGCTCTTGCCCTACCCTAGACATAGACTCTATTGCCTGTGACCCAGGGCTTGCTCACCTCAGGAGGTGGGGAACAAGGGAACTGTGCTCACCTGGCCCATCTTTAGTCTGCAGGTGCTCGGTTTTGGGGTCTTGGGCAACACCTCAATGATCCTGCCCTTTGTCTGGCTGTGGGAGACCTGATTATCTACCCATGATCGTCTCCTGCCCTCCATTTTTCTTTTCTCTTCTCCCAGCCACAGTGACTATTACCAGTACTTTAGGTGTGATAGGTTTTCTTTGCTCCCAGTGACTTCTGGCTTGCTCCATATAGAGGACCAGGCAGGTATTTTTCCCTTCCTTCCTCCAGTCCTGAACCTCCCAGGAGACTTTCTCATGAGTGCCTGGGGAGCCAGTAGAGAAGACCCCAGGGGACCACGGAGAAAAGCCCTGTACCGTGGCTCCCTGAGGTTCTCCAGCAGCTGGCTAAGGCATTCTCCTTGCCCACTGTATGATGGCCCCATCTGCCTTCTTCTCCATAGGGCAGGGCAGTGCACATGTCCCAAAGTCTTCTTTCCATTGGACACCTGTCTCAGGTCCTCAGCTAGTCAGCCATCATGTGCCCTCGGCTCTCAAGGGTTCAGGAAAAGAAGGGGTTTTGTAGATGATCTGGCTTTTACCAGTTGTTGGGCTGGAAGAGATGCTCTTTCCAGCATTCTCCCTCCAGGAAAAGCAAGATAGCATGTAACGAGTGATGATGGCAAAGCAGCGTGTTTCACATAGTGTATAGTAAAGATGATCAGAGGGACTCAGGAACATACAGCCACATGACTCCACACTGAGTTGGGTTCTGTTTCTGTTGGTTTGGTGAGTACCCAGGTGATGGGGTGGGTAGTAAGAGGGGTCAGCTGGAGTTTCAACAGGAAACTACAGGGATTAGTCTGGATGCTGGTGTGGGAAGAGTGACATGAGTTCCAAATGTCTGGCAGCTGTAGGAGGGCTTGTTCTTGGAGCAACAAACCAAATTCTGTCCAAAAGGAGAGGTCTGACTGAGCTCCTGGCTGAGCCCTGGTGGATACTGGAGGGCCTTCATGTTGATGGGGCAGTTATGCTCCAGGCAAGTATGGCAGAGCAGGTTGGTTGGACCTGGAGTGACACCCCCAGCTCAGGCCACCACCATTGGAAACCCCTCATCCATGGAGGCGGTCCTTGAGGATTTGGTGCACTCTGCTCTGCCACCATGCTTGTAGAAGAAACACTAGTATTTGGTATGTCTCAATCTCCAAGGTAACCATTTCTTGGATGACTAAAAACATTACCAATCAAACCAAGCACATTCTATTTATGGCCACCTTTGCCCAAATCTTTTTCCAAACACTTCCATCATAAAACACTTCGTGGATGTTCCTGCCAGTCACAGAAGATCCTTGGCATTGTGGACATTTCTCTTAGGTTCTTACTTTCCAAATCTCTTTGTTGAGATTTCAAGAGGCCCATTATTCAATATGTCTTCCCAAAGCATGTTTAGAGCCAATTAAAGAGTAAAGCTTCTGTGGGCAGGGGTTGTGGCTCAGCGGTAGGACGCTCACCTAGCACGTGCAAGGCCCTGGGTTCGATCCTCAGCACCACATAAAAATAAATAAAATAAAGGTATTGTATCCAACAACTAAAAAATAAATATATAAAAAAAATAAAGAGTAAAGCTTTAGCCAAGCGCAGTGTCATATACCTATGATCCCAGTGACTCGGGAGGCTGAAGCAGGAGGTTGGCAAGTTCAAGGGCAGCCTGGGCAAATTAGCAAGACCCTATCTCATAAAATAAAAAGGGCTGGGGATGTAGCTCAGTGGTGAAACACCCTGGGAACATGTCACTTATTGCTAGTCAGATACACTTCCCCATATGGGACTCCAGATGAGAGCTATTGGGGCCTGTGGCTTCAGGTCTCTGGACGTGGGGGACAGCTGTTCCCAAGGAGTGGCTGAGCTGAGAATGCCCATTCTCACCCAGAGTAACCTCTGGAGAGGATTGGAAAAGAAGTGTGTGCCCACGTGCTCCGGTGCTATCCTTGCCTGTGATCTCAGCATCTGTGGGTCAGCTACAAATTTAGTACCCTATCCCAGATCCTGGTGTGTCTTCCAGCAGGTTGAGAATTGCCTTCTCGGGTCTTCCTCCACTGTGGAGCTGCTTATACTAGAATATCCCTTAGGGCAGTCCCCAACAGAGGACTGAGGGGACAGGGAGAAGCACTGAAGGTGGGCTAGAATCCCAAGCCCTCCAGGAGGTCTCAGTGTGCCCTGGAGCCTCAGATGCTGGAGGCCTGGTCATCGTTCTGCATTGTAGTGGAGCCTGTGGCCCTTTGGCCCAAGGAAGCCTGAAGGACTCAGCATGCCACTGCCTTGGGGAGCCATCGTCTTGCTCCCCCACTCTCTTGTGGGGCTGGGCCACTCACCACTCCTCAATGCAGGGACCTCTACACAGTCTGGGCTTCTAGCAAGTAGCCACCACCACATGAAGTCATAATGTGAGTGGCCCAAGTTACTGGAACATGGTTGTCTCAGCACCCACTACCCCCTCACACACAGTGGCCCACAGCACCTGTGGATACCCAGAGCATCTCCACTCCAACCTCTCCTGCCTCCACTCTGCCATCCCTGCAGGCCTTGTCCACAGCTAAATTGGGCTGCAGGTTCCCACCACCTCCCTTTGTGTCTCTAGTCTCACCTGCCTGAGTATTCTCCACACTGTTACCTTCTACAACGAGTTCCCAGCACCAACCCCCCACACACAAATCCACTGGCCCCTGGATTGCATTCCCCAGCCTGCTCACAGGCATGCAAGCCTCCCCACCCTCCGCAGGCCAGGCTTCACTGCTCACTGGCTGCTCTCTGTGCGCACAGGGCTCCTACAGGCTGGGAGAGTCCTGCAGTCAGCTCCATGTGGCCTCCTGAGGCTCTGTTCACCTGAGGGCTCCAGGGAGGGCAGGGCCTGGGGAAGCACTAGGCCACGCCCCACTATAGTGTTCTTGGGCACTCTGCAGGGGTACCTCCTTACTGGCACTCCACTGTCAGTCATTACAAGGTCTTGTGGAAATTTAATCTTCGGATTTCTCCAGCAGGGAGTGACCTTCACCAGAAAGCCAGCTTCAGGGTTGTACTGTGCAGTTTTGAGAAGTGTTGACATTGTCATTTTGGATTTGTTGTTTCAGAATGCAAAACCAAGGAAGAGAACCAAAATACAGATTGGCCCTTAAAGCCGATAATTTCAGATGAGGTAACAGTGCATCTGGGGAAAGCATCTTCAGGGAGCATCGTTCAAGAACATTATAACCCAGAGCAGAGCTTCTGCCTGCATCCAAGCCCTGTCGTCCCTGGCGAGGCTCGGGTCTCGAATAGGAGCAGGCCACTGACTCCACACCCAGAAGCTCCCAGTGGAGAGAGGCCCTACATGTGCATCGAGTGTGGGAAGTGCTTTGGGCGGAGCTCCCATCTTCTTCAACACCAGCGAATCCACACGGGTGAGAAGCCATATGTGTGCAGTGTGTGCGGGAAGGCCTTCAGCCAAAGCTCAGTCCTCAGTAAACACAGGAGAATCCACACTGGCGAAAAACCCTATGAGTGTAACGAGTGTGGAAAAGCCTTCCGAGTGAGCTCGGACCTTGCTCAGCACCACAAGATTCACACAGGAGAGAAACCTCACGAGTGTGCCGAGTGTCGGAAGGCCTTCACCCAGCTCTCGCACCTCATCCAGCACCAGCGGATCCACACAGGGGAGAGGCCCTATGTGTGCCCACTATGTGGGAAGGCCTTCAACCACAGCACTGTGCTGCGGAGCCACCAGAGGGTACACACTGGGGAGAAGCCTCACCAGTGCAGCGAGTGCGGGAAGACCTTCAGCGTAAAGAGGACGCTGCTGCAGCACCAGCGGGTGCACACAGGGGAGAAGCCCTACACGTGCAGTGAGTGCGGGAAGGCCTTCAGTGACCGCTCAGTCCTCATCCAGCACCACAATGTGCACACAGGAGAGAAGCCCTACGAGTGTGGCGAGTGTGGCAAGGCCTTCAGCCACCGCTCCACCCTCATGAACCATGAGCGGATCCACTCAGAGGAAAAGCCCTATGCTTGCTACGAGTGTGGCAAGGCCTTCGTGCAGCACTCCCACCTGATCCAGCACCAGAGGGTCCACACCGGGGAGAAGCCCTATGTGTGTGGAGAGTGTGGGCATGCCTTTAGCGCACGTCGCTCTCTGATCCAGCATGAGAGGATCCACACGGGAGAGAAGCCCTTCCAGTGCACAGAGTGCAGCAAGGCCTTCAGCCTTAAGGCCACCCTGATCGTGCACCTGCGGACCCACACTGGCGAGAAGCCCTATGAGTGCAGCAGCTGCGGCAAGGCCTTCAGCCAGTACTCGGTGCTCATCCAGCACCAGCGGATCCATACAGGGGAGAAGCCCTATGAGTGTGGGGAGTGCGGACGTGCCTTCAACCAACACGGCCACCTGATCCAGCACCAGAAGGTGCACGGGAAGCTGTGAGCCTGGGGCCTGGTGGCTGCAGGAGGCAGCCTCACTACCCTCCCTCGGGGTTCAGTGCCACAAAATAATTGCAGGGAGAGGCACTGGGCATGTTCTTCCTGTGGAAAAGCTGCAGAGCATATGTTCTGTTTTCCTCAACATCCTGAAGCTGTATTGAAGAGTGACCTGCCATCATAATGAAGTCTGGGTGCAGATAGCCATGATTCCTTGTTTCTTCAACATTAGATAATTCATTTGAAAGGAGTAACTAAAGGAAGTTAAAGTGAAAGGACTTGTCCCAAAATACTCCCTTATGTTCCCAGTGAGGTTCTTTCTCTTCTGAGAATGCATGCCTTTCCTAAACAGTTAGCCAGTCAGCTGTGAAACTTAGAACACTGGACTGTTTTCGTATTCTCTTGAAACACAGAAGTGCTGTGTGGATAAATTGATATACAACATCAAGGATCACATGACATCGCTGAAAATTGTAACTGTGCAAACACCTGTTTGTATGAAAAGAAAAAGAAGTCTAAAGATGTGTTCATTAGAAATTATGTAAATTTAAAAAAAAAAAAAACTCTTTTATCTGGTGCTTTAACTTATCCAAGACCAGAAGGAATGTCCTGCCACTTGAGTAAAAATGCAACTAAAACATGGTTGTTTTCCTTAAGACCTATAGACTCTGCATGCCAGAGATTCTGGATCTCTGGGGCCAGTTAGGTCCCAAGCAAGAAAATATTGCTAAAAAGATGATTCCTTGTTGCGCGTTGTTTTGTTTTGTTGGTACCAGGATTGAACCCAGGGGCACTGGACCCCTGAGCTGCATCCGCATCCCATTTTATTTTTTATTGTGAGATAGTCTTGCTGAGCTGCTTGGGGCCTCAGCCTCCTGTGGTACACCACCACACCCAGCAGTGCATATTTTTTTTTTTTTTAATTCTCACTCTTTTTTACCAGCTCTAATAGTCCATTCTTGTACTCCAGTTGTTTGGGGTTTGTTGTTGTTGTTGTTTAACTCCTGGCTTAAGACAGTCTACTATTCATTGCCTGTGATAAATTTGGTTTATTCATAATTAAAAATTTGAATTTGTTCAGAATTATTTGCTCAGTTTTTAAGGGTATGGTTCTTACATCTGAGTTTATATCAGAGCCATTTCTAGTAGGATCTACCTGCAAATAAAACAAAGGTATGAGATTCAAGCCGCGTCAGACGTACATGTGTCAGTGCCTGGTGGAGGTGTTTCCTTCTTCCTCTGGGGAGAAGAGAGAAGCACTGGGGTGTTGGTCCTCAGCGTTACACGTGACAAGAGCTCGGTAAGAATGGCCCGTCCCTGAGGCCTTGGCTTGAGCAGGGAGCTGCGGTACAGCTGAGCCGCTGCTTGAGGAGGAGCTGATCACAGAAGGGTGGCACAGAAGAGCAACACTAAGTGTCTCAGTGAGGAGAGCCAAGGTCTGTGCCTTACTGCAGAAAGGGAAGGAGGCCACTGTGGTGTCACTTCAGTGAGGCTGAAAATCCAGAGTTGGCAGCACTGAGATGAATTCTCCAGAGGGCTCAGGTCACCGAAGGGAGCCAACAGAGTGGAGGCCGCTGGGCACTGCTTCCTAGAGGAGGTGAGATCACTGATGTTTTTCGGAAGAGATGACAGAGAAGCTGGAATCGATGAGTTGTTACTTCAGAGAAGAACTGAACTCACTGAAGTGTGACCTGGGGCCAAGATGAAGTCTTCAGAGGCTGAGGTGAATGCGGTCAAACTTCACAAAGCTGCCCTCACAAAGGGACACTTCAGAGTCTACTCTGAAAAGGAGCTGAGGCTACTAAGGGTGTAAGACCTTAGTGGAGGGAGGAGGGAGGCTGCCAGCCCTCACTAGGGGACCCTGCAGCTGGGGTCTCTGTGGCTGCAGGTTGGAGCCCACCACTACTCGAGCCACAATTGCTGATCATGCAGAAAAGCAGAGCACAGTCATGTGCCAATCAGGATGAGAATAGGAGCTCGATTGAATTCAGTACAAAGATTTGTGTAGAAAGACTATATGAAAAGGAAAAGAAAGAGAAACAAAGGCTGTATCCCAGGACAACTGAAGTCACAGGGTACAGAGTGCTGGAGAGCTCAGTTCTCCAGTAGCCTAGGTTTCCAGGGAGACCTTTCTAAAACGTAGTTTGCTTTCCTGCATTCTCAGATGAAGCATGCTCAGCATCCATCTCCTATTCTTGTTGGCAGGCCACCTTTGATGCACCCAGGTGCAGGTTCAGGTGTCCGTGGAGCTGGGAAGTGGGCATCAGTGCCCCTCGTGGAGGGTATTCCAGCTCTGTGTTCTTGCCATTCACCTCATGGCCACCTGGAACACATGGGCAGCTGCCTTTGGGGAACATGAGGTCAGACGCCACAATGAGCTTGGGCTCCCTTCAAGTAGTGGTGACCTACCTCTTGGGCTTTACCTGCCCAACTACTTGTCATTTGTCAGTACCATTCCACTTTTATTTTGAATTTGTGTGTGTGTATGCTCAGAAATCTTTACAGTTTATGCATTTAAATCTTTATATTAATGCATTTAAATCTTTATTAATTCTCCTTATTGGCTACCAAGAATTTGCTATTTAATACTTTTCAAATTTTCTATCATTAAAAAATATCATGGGGGCTGGGGTTATGGCTTAGCAGTAGAGCGCTCACCTTGCATGTGCAAGGCCCTGGGTTTGATCCTCAGCACCACATAAACATAAATAAATAAAAGTTATTAAAAAAAATCACGGTCCTCCTGAAATTTAATTCTGTGTACTGTATACAATCTGACATATTCCAGTTTAAAAAAAAAACAATGATTATAACAAGTATTTGGGTGAAGAAAGCTCAATAATGTTGACACAAAGATCGGCGCTTCAGTGACCACAGGACACAAGCCGGCAGCTCCAAACCAGGAAAAACTGGGAAGTCTGGAAGAGGTCCACTATGCCAAGGAAGTGGAACATGTCGTGGCCTCCCACTCGGGGAGGCTCATCCAGTCCCCCGAGATGCAGAGGTGGAAAAGGTGCCGCCTTGCTTTCGCTGATGACATTACCATTAAAATGAAACTCTAGGACTGGAGCTATAGTTCTGTGTGTGAGGCACTGGTTCGATCCTCAGAACCACATAACAAATAAATTAATAAAGATATTGTGAGTCCATCTACAACTAAAAAAAATTGAAAAAATGAAACACCTCCCAAGAAACATGCAGACTTCATTAAATAAGTCTTGGGCTGGGGCTGCAGCTCAGTGGCAGAGTGCTTACCTAGCATGTGGGAGGCACTGGGTTGGATCCTTAGCACCACATAAAAATAAAGGCATGCTGTCCATATACGACCACATTTTTTTCTTTTTTTTTAACAGAAGTCTGGCAGTTACACATACTGTTTTTTTCTGGAGTATCTCTGGGCCACAGCATGTCTCCTGCCATACCCAGCTTCTGTCAGTTGTGAGGAAACAATGGTGTAACTCATCCTTTCTTTGAAGAACGATGACAACACACCAGGACTCGGCTTGGCAGGTGTTGGTCAACCCTAAGGAAGAGGGGCACTCGGTAGAAAGGCTGCACAGAAGGACCAATGGTGGAAGCCAGGAGGGTCTTGCCTGGGAGTGGGACCTGCTCTGGGGCAGAAGTGAGAGCAGCACACACATAGGAGGGCTCCTTCCTACCTGGGCAAATGTGGGGGGCATTTTAGATTTCAGGCTTACAAGTTCCCAAGCTGGGAAACTCAGGTGAGGTGATGTGAAGTTCATGGGTCTCAAGGCTGCCCTCCCTGAGAGGAGTAGTTGCAGGTTTGATTATCCCCCAAATCACCCTCAGGTTCAATAAATTTGCAATGAAGACTCAGAACTCACCTTGAAAGCTGATATTCTCCTGGTTTTGAGTTTTGGTAGTGGCAGCAGAAGTGAAATGCAGTGCCTGTCACAGAAGCATGCCTGCACCCTCATCAGAGGTGACAATGTCCAGTGCAGGGGGCTGTGTGGCAGCTGGACTGTGCACACTCTTCTGCCTTTGTGTCCTGGTAGGCAGGTAAAGAACTTAATAAGTTAGTGCTGGTGACGTGATGTGTTGGTGCAACTGCTCTGGAAAGCATAGGATGAACATCAGTGTCCTTTAAGAAGTTTATCCCATCCTTAGGAATATATCCTAAGGACATAACTTAAAAAAATAATTAAAACCCTAGAATTACTCACTATGAAATAGTATACAGATAGTCCCCAACTTAATATTCAACACAGGGTGGATTGGGGGGGGTGGCGGCGGTGCTGTAGCTGAAGGATCACAAGTTCAAGGCCAGCCTCAGCAACTTAGTGAAACCCTGTCTCAAAAAATAAAGAGGGCTAGGGATGTGGCTTAGCGGTTGAGTGCCCCTGGGTTCAATCCCCAATAAATTTTTTTTTTTATTTAGGACTTTTCAACTTTATAATGGCATGGAAGTGACATGCATTCAGCAGAGATTCTATGTTGAGTTTCCCAGGCCTGTGGTACATTCTGTGAGCCTCTACGGTGGTGCCGGGCTACAGCAAGCAGTGGCTTCCTTGCAGCCATGCTATCCCAGTGTACAGAGGTATAGAGCTACAATGTTACGTTGGGTATCAGACACATTTTCAGCTTATGATATGTTCAGCTCACAAGAGGGTTATGAAGACCTCATCATAAAGAGCTTCATGGTGTGGCCAAGTGATAACATTTTATAAATTAAAACATGTCCCTGTCTGGATAGAAAGATTGTTGCTATCATAAAGTAAACTATCAGAGTGATGTCATGGAAGACAGCTAAGTAGGAAACTCAGGAATCTATCCTTCCACCTCTACAACTACCAAGCTGACAGGGACTGTTAGAAGTAACCTGAAAGCTAGTCAGTCAAGCTAGTCGGTCTGGTCAGATGCTGGTAGCATCCAGGAAGAGCTTGAAGAGGCAGGTGGTAAGTTTCAACAGTTTCAACATTCCTGTAGTGCTTGCCAGGGCACCATTCCCTAGCCCCATGGCATGAACTGTGAATGGTGTGCACTAAGGATGTTCCAAAGACCGGGGCTGTGTGTTTTGATGGTTGATTGCTGCTCTTGATTACTAAAGAACTGGCACAGAGGCTAGCTACTATAATTTTGATCATCATGGGTCAGCAAAGCAGTTTCCAGAGGAATTAAAGAGACAATACTTGGGTCTGGGGTTATGGCTTCATGGTAAAGCACTTGCCTAGCACATGTGAGGCCCTGGGTTCAGTCCCCCAACACCCCCTAAAAACAATAACTAAATAAACTGCAACTAAAATTTTTTTTAAAAAAAGAGACAATACTTGTGTTGTTTCCCTTTGGGGGATTTAGACATATAAGGAAAGATTTTTCATGTTACTGACTGACCACACAAATAATGGAACTGAAACATCGGTGCCCACACACTTCAAAAAAGTACACAATGCAAGAATAGTTTGGGAAAGTCACAAATAGATGGCTCAAGCCCTCAACAAGCAAGATTTGGCAATCACTGAGGAGAGTCTTAGAATTCCAGAGTAACCACAACAATACCTGCTGCTCAACTCAAAATAGCCACTGCTCAACAAAAAATGACAGAACATACAAAGAAACAGGAAAGTATGATCTATTCACAGGAAAAAATAAAATTTGACAGAAAGAGGAAGCCCAGACACTGGAATTATTAGTCAAATATGTTAAATAAATGATGGAGACATAGTTCAGTGGTAGAGCTTGTGCCTACCATATGCAAGACTCTGGGTTTGATCCTCTGTACCCACCTCAAAAAAGTTAAAACAACTGTCTTATGTATGTTTGGTGAATTAAAGGAAATCATGGACAAAGAACTAAAGGAAATCAAGAAAATTATGTATGAACAAAATGAAAATACCAATAAAGATTTTTTTAAAAATTTAAAAAAAGAAAATACCAAAAAAGAAAATTATTAAAAAAAAATCTGGAACTGGAAAGTCAATATCTGAAGTGAAAAACTCACATGAGGGGTTCAACAGCAGACACAAGGAGGCAGAAGAAAGATCAGCAAACTAGAAGATCGGACCATTGACATCAGTCTGGGAAAAAAAGAAAAACAGACCCCAAGAGACCTGTGGGATAGCGTCATATGTGCCAACATACACATTATAATATTCTCAAAAGGAAAAGAGAGAAGGAGGAGGAAAAGATATTTGAAGAAATAATAGTCTCAAACTTCTAAAATCTGTGGGAAGACAGATTTGAATGTACAAATCCAAAAAACTCAAGAAATTCCAAATGGAATAAATTCAAATCACAGAGACATATTATAGTCAAATTGTTGAAACTCAAATTCTGAAGATACCAGTAAGGAACCGAACACATGAGGCTCAGCAGATTTCTGGGAAACTATGGAGACCAGAGGCAGTGGATGACATATTTGCAGGCCTGAAATGAAAAAAAAAAAGTAAACCAAGAATTTTATATCCAGCAAAAACTACCCTTCAGGAATGAAGGGAAAATCAAGACATGTCTAGATAAAGAACATTTGAGGGAACCCATTACCAGTAGCTCTGCTTCACATGAAATCTGAAGGGAGACTTTCCGTTTACAGCTAGCAGCCAGCAGCTCTGAGCAGCTCGGAGTGCTTGAAGAATCTGCACTTGTTCAGGCCTGACAGGAGCAGGATGGGATGCTCTGCTCTAGCGAGCCGCCAGTGAAACCACATCCTTAGCACTTGTGGTTAGCGTTGCCAAGCTGCCAGGCCAGGAAACTGACAGCCAGGAGCTTCAGGAATGGAACTTCTAACTTAGAAACCCCCTCCCCTAGGGACAAAGACCCTTCCTGATGATAGCAATATTCAGAACATCCTCATAATGTGGTTACATTAGGCATAGGATGACTGGCTTATGGAGACTATCTTGCTTGTGAATGATTGATGGCACGCCCCACTGGGACCCTATAACAATTGTATGCATTCCAAAAATAAACTGAGCTACTGGACGACGACCTGAGGTGGGTCTCCAGCCAGTTGTGTCACCAGCAACCCCCAACCCCCACCCCCTGCGACAAGGTAGCCGGCAACTAGTCGATCAGAACCACAGCATGAAAGGACATTACAGACAACCCAAAGCTGTGAGAAATTTAAAAAAAAAAAAAAATGGTAAAGGTAACTACATAGGTAAATGTAAAAGCCAACATCCCTGCACTTTTGGTATGGTTTGTACTTCCTTTTTTTAATCTGATTCACTAAACAAACACATTTAGGGCTGGGGATGTGGCTCAAGCGGTAGCGCGCTCGCCTGGCATGCGTGCGGCCTGGGTTCGATCCTCAGCACCACATACAAACAAAGATGTTGTGTCCGCCGAAAACTAAAAAATAGATATTCTCTCTCTCTCTTTAAAAAAAAAAAAACAAACACATTTAGAAAAATCTATAAATCTATGTTAATGAGCATCTGACATATAAAGATGTGAACTTTGACAATACAAAGAGGTAAGGATGGGTGTATATAAAAGTATGGACACTTTTAAATTCATACTTTTAAAATTAAGCTGATGTCAACAAAACTAGGTTATTCTAAGCTTAAGAAGTTGGTTATAAACCCCAAAGTAACCACTAAGAAAAAAATAGAAAAATGTGAACAGACATAACTGAACCAGGTGTGCTAGTGCATGCCTGTAATCTGAGTGGCTTAGGAGGATGAGACAAGAGAATCATGAGTTCAAAGCCAGCCTCAGCAAAAGCAAGGTGTTAGGCAACTCAGTGAGACCCTGTCTCTAAATAAAATACAAAATATGGCTGGGGATGTGGTTCAGTGGTCAGGTGCTCCTGAGTTCAATCCATGGTACCCCCACCCCACCCCCCAAAATAAGCCATAACTGGTAAAAAGATTGTAACAGTAATCAAAAACCTCCCAACCCTGGTGTGGTGGTACCTGCTTTGATTCCAGCAATTCAGGAGGCTGAGGCAGGAGGGTTCAAGTTCAGGGCCAGTCTGGTAAACTTAGCCAGACCCTGTCTCAAAACAAAAAGGGTTGGGGTGGGCTGAGATTGTGGCTCAGTGGCAGATTGCTTGCCTCACATATAAGAGGCACTGGGTTTGATTCTTAGTACCACATAAAAATAGGTAAATAAAGGTATTGTGTCTATCTACAACTAAAAAATATTTTTAGAAGTATGGGACTATTATTTCTTCAAAAAAAATTTTTTTAAATATTTTTTTAAAAAGAGGGAACACCTAGTAAGATTCAAAAGTATATTTAAAGGATTATAAACCATGACCAAGTGTGATCTGTTCCTGGAATGAAATATGGCAACAACATACGAAGATTAATTTGTATGATCATCACACTGTATTAATAAAGAAAACCCACTTACAATATCACTGATACAGAAAAACATTTCACAGAATTTAACACTGTTTCATGATAAAAACACTCAATAATCTAGGATTAGAAGGTGACTTTGTCTATGTTGAGGAAGGGTGTACATGAAGAACCTAACACTATACATAACAGGGAAAGCTAGCAGCCTTGAGATCAGCAACAAGGTTAGGATGCCCACTTTGGCCACTTCGATTAAACATAATATTGGAAGTTCTAACTAGAGAAGTCAGGCAAGAAAAGGAAGCATTAGGCATCCAAACTGGAGTGGAATAGAAGTAAAATTATACCTCAGCCCAGAGCTGGCAAGAACTCTGAGGACTGCACAAAAATAGTACATAAGAGCTAACAAATGAATTCAGCCAAGTTGTGGGACACAAAGTCAAAACACAGGGCTGGGGCTGGGGCTCAGTGGCAGAGCGCTTGACTAGCATGCATGAGGCACTGGGTTTGATCCTCAGCACCACATAAAAATTTAAAAATAAAGGCATTCTGTCCATCTACAATTGCAAAAAAAATTTTTTTAGTCAAGACACAATTGTTTCCATTTAGTATTGATAAACAACTAAAAAGGAAAGGAAAAAAAACAATTTCATTCATAGTAGCATTGAAAGGAATAAATCAAGAGGCAAAAGATTCATACATTGAGAGGCTGGGGTTGTGGTGCAGTGGTAGGACGCTTGCCTAGCATGCACAAGGCACTGGATTCGATCCTCAGCACCACATAAATATAAAATAAAGATATTGTGTCCACCTAAAAAACTAAAAAATAAATATTTTTTAAAAAGATTCATACATTGAAAGCTACAAAACATCACAGTAAGTTGAAAAAAACATAAATAAATGGAAACATATCGTGTGCTCATAGATTGGAAGACTTAATATTGTTAAGGTGATAAACCTACCCTGAAATTTTTTGCAGATTCAAAAAAACCCATTCTGTATTTCATGTGGAACATCAAGGGACCCCAAATAGCCAAAACAATCTTGAAAACGAAGAACAAATTGGAGGATTCATACGTCCTAATTTTAAAACTTTCTACAAAGTTATAATAATGAAAACAGTGTGGGTGTACTCTTAGTTCATTTTGTGTTTGTTACTATAATAAAATACATGAAGTTGGATAGTTTATAAAGAAAAGAGATTTACTTACTCTGTGTATTTATTTACTCTGTGAATTTTCCAGATCTTCCCACTCTGCTCCCCTTTGCCCCTGAATCTGAGCATAAGCAGTTGAAAGTAACCAGGCAGCAGCCTAAATTTTTTGTTTAGAAGTGTCTTCAGTTTTCACCATCCTTAGATTTGGTCCACCACAAAGCCCTCAGGCATGGACACAGTGCAGTGAGATCTTCACAGTGGCCTGACAAGGGTGGCCTTTATTCTGGTTCCCAGCAGGATGTTCTTATTTCTATCAGCATTCTGGTCATAAACTCTTCACCAATCTCCAAGAATTTCTAGCTTCCTATATACTAAGTCCTCACCAAAATCACCCATAATTCTCCATTTATAGCATTCTAGGCTTTTACTAGGCTGTTCCTCCAAACTCTTCCACCCTGTGCCCATTACCCAGTTCCAAAGTCCCTTCCATATTTTCATGTGCCTTTATAGGAAATACCCCATTCTCAGTACCAATCTCCTTTTTTAATTCACTTCCTATTGCTATAACACCTTTTTAAAATAATGTTATTGTATTTTCATACCTTTCTTTTTTATTCTTTTCTTAGTTTTTGATGTATCTTTATTTTATTTATTTTTATGTGGTGCCGAGGATCAAACCCAGTGCCTCACACATGCTAGTCAAGCACTCCAATACTGAGCTACAGACTCAGCCCCCCATAATGCCTTCTGATCACCCGTAACTTTCATTCTCAAGAGAACTCTAGGCTCTGAAACATGCAATGATTCCTCCTGAGGATGGCTCCTCACTCCTGACCTAATCACCTTTCCCCAGGCTCCACTTGCTCTGAGAGATGCAGCCCCTTGACATCACTACATACCAGGCCTCCCACATATGAACCTCAGGCAGATGAGCCACATTCAGTCATGGCACAGTGGCATAAGGACAGGCGTGGAGAGTGGAAGAAGAGGCCAGAACTGAATTTTCACAGATACGATCAATTGGTTTTAAGCAAGGACTAAATAGGTCCCCAAAATTCACATCCTGAAATCCTAACCACACTGGAACTGTACTTGGAAATATGGCCCCTGAGAAGGTGGTAACGATTAATTAGATGAGCTTATAGGGGTGGACCTGATCCAATAGGGCTGTTGCTTTTTTTTTCCCCCTCAGGTACAGGGATTGAACCCAAGGCGCTCTACACTAAGCTACACCCATTCTAGCATGCACTTCCCCCTAAAATTCTAGGCCCCACTGAGTGACCCAGGATGGCCTCAACCTTGGAATCCCTGCCCCAGCCTCCTGAATGGCTGGGATTACAGGTGTGTACCACCATGCCCAGCTAGGGCTGATGCTTTTATGAGAGGAAGGGACACTAGAGATCTCTTTTTCTCTGCCTTGTGAGGACACAGCAAGAAAGTAGCCATCTGCAAGTCAGGAAGAGAGCCCTCACCAGGAACTAACTGGCACCTTCAACTGGACTTCAGCCTCCATGACTATGAGAAATAAACGTCTGTTGTTCAAGCCATCCAGTCTGTGGTACTCTGTTGTGGCAGCCGAGCTGACTAATACACCATGCCGCATGGAAAGGAAAATCTATTGAGCAGTATTGCTGGGAAAACTGGGTATTCACACACAGAAGCATGGCATTGGACTCACCTTGTGCCATATAAAAAAATTAGCTCAAAATAGATCAAAGTCCCAAAACGTAAGATCTAAAACTATAAATTCCTTAGAAGAAAACACGGTAGGCAGACTTAATGACTCGTGCTTAGCAATGATTCCTTACATGTGATACCTAAATGCACAGGGAATAAAAGAAAAATTAGATAAACTGGACTTCATCAGAATCAAAAATTTTTTGCATTATAGGACACTATCATGAGAATGAAAAGATTAGTCCACAAAATAGAAAAATATTTTCAAATCATATATCTGATAAGG